GTGTGTGTGTATGGTGTGTGGTGTGTGTGTATGGTGTGTGGTGTGCACATGTATAATTTGTGTATGGGGTGCATCTGGTGTATGTGATGTGTGTGGTATATGTGTGCAGGGTGTGTGTGTATGGTGTGTGGTGTATGTGTGCATGTGTATGATACATGTGGTGTGTGGTGGTGTGCATGTGTATGATTTGTGTGGTGTATGTGTGCAGGGTACATGTGTGTGGTGTGTGGTATGTGTGTGGTGTGTGTGATGTGTATGATGTGTGTGTGTGTGGTGTGTGTGTTGGGCCCAGGGCCTGAGGAGGAAGCAGGGCTGCCCAGGAAAATGCCACCCTGGAGAGGCCCCTATCCCTCCCTGCCTGTCCTCCCTGTCCCCCTCTGTCCCTCCCTGCCCATCCTCCCCTGTCCCCCTCCATCCACCTCCCACCCGTCCCTCCTCCTACGGCGGGCGGCCCGTCTTTTGTGCTGCCTGTGAGAAGCACAGGGAGGGCTGGGCGGGCGTGAACCCGCTGGCAGCCAGTGTGTGCGCAGCCCTGGCCCGGGCCTCCCAGCCCCTGCATCCCGAGCACCCGTGGGGCAGTTGGCAGCGTCCTGGCACAGCCTGGGAGATTAATTGGTGCTTTTAATGACGGCTGGTCTGGCGAGACTACAGTGAGTACAGGCTGGGCCGGCACAGGCTGTGAACAGAGGCTGGAAAGGCCCCACCCCCGGATGGGTCTCCAGCGGAGAGGAGGGGTTCACAGGACCCCTCTCAAGACCCCCTTCGGGAGTCAGCTTCCTGGCCGCGCACACTTGGAGCTCTGGGCTGGGTTGCAGCTCCCTGTGCTTCACTGTCTCAGGTGCTGACAGTGCCAGCTGGGACACGAGTTCCGGTTTGGGTCAAGGCTGGCCTGTTGGCCGGGGTGGCGTCTGCCTGAGAACTGGCCTTGTCTGTGCCTTAAGCTTCCCGGCGCTCACAGGGCAGTGGAAAACCACTCGGTGAGCCTTTCTTGGCACCCTGCAGGAGCAGTGCTTTCTGGGCCCTCTGCGGCCAGAGCTGGCCCCGCTGCAGCTCACTTCTGCCTGCAGCTCAGACATCCTCCTGGTCCTCCTGATGCCCCCGGCCTCCACGGAGGACGAGCGTCTCCAGCCCAGCCCTCCCCATCTCCACCTTCCGCCCCCCCGACACACTGGGAGCCTCCTGATCCGTGAACCCGTGCTGGCGGGGGTAGCTACTGACTGCTGAGGACCCCTGCCCGGGCTGTTCTCACGTGGCAAGGATTTGGGGAGCGGGCGATGCTTAGCTCAAAGCATGGAGACCAGCGCTGCCCTCTCCCCAGCGACAGGTGCACGCTCAGATCACGGATGTGTCGGGAACAGCTGTGACTCCTGCTGCTCAGCGTCTGTCACTCCAGGCTGGGAGCGGATCCCCAAGCTTCCGGCTGGGCCCATCCGTCTCCCCTCTCAGTGGTGGGTGGGGGGAGCGCCAACAGCACGCATTTGCTCTCCGCACTTCTCATCTGACAGTGGGCAGAGGGTCCTTCTCCAGCCCTAAAACATCCTCAGGCAGCGCCCTGGGGCTCCAAGCAGCCAGGGAGAGGTGAGTACCAAGGACCTCCCCTTGGGCGTCACCTCCTGCCGAGGGAGGCCAAGCCTAGGGGCGGTGTCTGTGACGTGGAGTCAACACTTTCACTGGTGGCAGTAAATGCTGTCCCTAACCCTGCAGTATAGATGTGGGTTTCTGTGCCCTGTACAGGAGGGTGCTATCTGACACCAGACACCCAGACTACAGATTGCAGCCCCATTCCTGGTCCTTACGCCACTGAACGCCAGACCCCAGCCTCATTCTAGGCCCTCATCCCCTAGATCCAGGGACCCCAGCCCCATTTCAGCCCTTGGGCCCCTGTAGGATGCTAGGCCCTGGCTCCCCTGGGCCCCAGCCCCCAGTCCATCCCAGGCCCAGGCACCAGGGGGGCTGAGGTCCTCTGAGAAGGAACACGGGGCCTGGGGGGGCTCTCTCAGCCCATCAGCAGGAGAGGACTGACTCCAGAAAAATCAGCCTTTGTGCCCACTTAGGCTGCCAAGACCTGTGTCCGTCCTTCCACACGCAACCTTCAGATTTCATGAGGCTCCTTGCCCGGAATGTCCATGTTTGAAATCTCCCAACACCGAGCCCCATTTCAAGTATAACCAAGAGGGAAAATGGTGCTTGAAATAAGCATGCCATAAAGGAAAACCCGCTTTCTCGAAATGGGCTCTGGTTGCTCAGGTCCTGACCTCCCCGGCCAGGATGGAACGTTCCAGAGACCCATTAGTGCCAAAGGCAAATTAAAACACACCCTGTAAAAATGTCTGCTGTCTCCCAAGTATTTATTTTTCTGAATGTGTTTCCTCCGCGGTCTCAGTTCAGATGAGAGCCTTCAGCAAAGCTTTGCTCTAGAGGCTCAGAGAAAGGACAGAAGGCACAGGCCCAGCTCTGCCTTTGCCCTGCCTTTCTTGTGGCCTGGGCTTGGGTGGCACCACCGGGTGACACACAACACTGGGCTCCGAGGCTGTTTGTTACGCAGCATTACTGTGGCCATTGGTGACCGCTACACTGACTGACAACTACACTGTGGGTAGAGCTCAGCCCGCAGGGCTCTGGTTTGTGACCTCTGGGCCAGGCAATTTCCAAGCGTTTTTCCAGTGCAGAATATGATTCCTAGAGGAAAAAAAAAAAAATAATACACATTCGCTTCCTCACACAGGGTCCTGCAACCAGAGAACATCACCACATTGGGTGCTGTGCTTTCCGGTCTGCCTAGAAACCATGGCTTGCCAGCGTGCAGGGTCACATGGAGCCGCGTCTCCTTCTGGGGTGCAGGGGTGGGAGCACTCGTGGCCTGTAGCTGAGGATGCAGGGAGAGGACAGGGTGAGCCAAGCAGAACAGCCGTCTGTGAGTCATGGTCCCAGGACAACCAGCAAATGGTACGACACCTGCTCTCTCAGCCCCCACCCGCACCTGCCAGCCTCACGTGGGGGGGTTTGGCCGCTGGACAGTCACGGCAGGATCTGCCCAAACCGACCACCCTTCCAGAAGGCGGCGACAGACGTTAGCATCGATGGGTCCTGGGCTCCCCTTCCATACACAGACTTCAGGACATGAAAAATTGGGGTAAATGAAGGGTGCACGATTAGCTTCGGGCCCACGCTGGGTTCCTGTGGGTGCCAGAGACAGCTGCAACTGCATGCCAAGGACAATGGCCCCGATGCGGCAGGAGCTGCCAGGCCGGGGTGCTGGGGGACAGCTGGACGAGGTGCCGACAGGGGCTCATTCCTCCCTGAAGCGGGCCCGCAGCTGCTGGGAGCGTGGCCAGCCATGGGCTTGTGTGTGCCTGGGTCCCAGGGGCCGTGCTGGCGCAGGCTGGGATGGTGGGGACAGGGTCCCACCCAGGGCAGGCTTGTCAGTGGGTCTCTGGGGAGACAGCCCAGTCTTCAGCCTGCGCGCTCTTGGGGAGCCCCTCCCTCCCTCCCCACTCTCCTCCTCTTCTCAGCCTCTTCTCCCCCAGCACTGGGCAGCCCTGGGGTGGCCGAGCCTCATCTCCACTCCCTTAGGCCTCTCCTGGGTCAGCCTGGCTTTTTTCTTAGTTTTTGCTTGACAGGGCAAACTCAGGACGCCCTCCTCCTTCTCCCGCCTCAGGCTGGTGTGAGGCGCTCAGGGCAGAGCCCGGGTTCCTGTGGCCGCCGGGCGCTGAGCTGCAGGGTGGAAGGACCCCACCTGGCCGATTTCCTGGCCGCTGCAACTTGCTCTGGGTTTGCAGAGAAGCCTCTGTTTTTAAGTGAAGCGCCTTCTTGGGGAATAAGACACACCTGTATCTAAATGTTATTTTTAAACTGCTAGATGCTCCTTAATACAGATGAAGAAGTAAGGTGAGTGTAAATAATACGATGTATTCCGACAGGTGACAGCGCCTTCCGGGTGATTCTGAAACACCAGTGCAGGGCTGTCTGTCGTTCTTTTGTTTGCATTTTACTTTTTTTTTTTTTTGAGATGGAGTCTCTTGCTGTGCTGCCCAGGCTGGAGTGCAGTGGCGCGATCTCGGCTCACTGCAAGCTCCGCCTCCCGGGTTCACGCCATTCTCCTGCCTCAGCCTTCCGGGCAGCTGGGACTACAGGCACCCGCCACCGCGCCCGGCTAATTTTTTTTTTTTTTTCTATTTTTAGTAGAGACAGGGTTTCACCATGTAGGCCAGGATGGTTTGGATCTCCTGACCTCAGGTGATCCACCCGCCTCGGCCTCCCAAAGTGCTGGGATTACAGGCGTGAGCCACTGTGCCCGGCCTCATTTTACTTTTCTAAAATTCGAGGCGAAATTCACATAGCATGAAATAAGCCACTTTCCGGTGAACGACTCAGTGGTGTTTAGCACCTCGCAGTGCTGGGCCACCATCACCTAGTTCCAGAACATTCTCATCAGCCCAAAAGGGAACGTCCTACCTACGGAGCACCCGCTCCCCACTCCCTGTCCCCAGACCTGGACCACAGAGCTCCCTCCTTTCCCAGTGGCTTTGCCCGCTCTGGACGTTTCGTGTAAATGGGTTCACACAACATGTGACCTCCGCGTCTGTCCTGTCCCACTGAGCTTGATGTCCTGAGGTTCATCTGTGTTGTAGCATGTGTCAGAAGTGGATTCCATTTTATTTTATTTTACTATTTTATTTTATTTTATTTTAGAGACAGAGTCTTGCTCTGTGGCCCAGGCTGGAGTGCAGTGCTCAATCTCGGCTCACTGCAACCTCCACCTCCCGGGTTCAAGCGATTCTCCTGTCACAGCCTCCCAAGTAGCTGGGATTACTGGTGCCCGCCACCATGCCTGGCTAATTTTTTTGTATTTTTAGCAGAGGCGGAGTTTCACCACGTTGACCAGGCTGGTCTTGAACTCCTGACCTCAGGTGATCCACTCGTCTTGGCCTCCCAAAGTGCTGGGATGACAGGCTTGAGCCACCGCGCCCGGCTCCTGGATTCCTTTTTACGGCTGAATCATAACCCAGTGCACTTTTGATTAAATTCACGCTGAAATGAGCATGAACAGAGCCGCTGGTCCACCTCTCCTCGGTGCAAGCCCTGCCCCCAGTGACCTGCTCTGGAGCCATTCTAGGCCGTGGATGGGACCCCTGTGGTCAGCGTCCCAAGAGAGCAGACCCCGAGGGAAACTTGAGCTCAGAGAGGACAGGAGCTCCCAGCAGACCCTTCCGCTGACTGCTCCCACCCTGGGCAAACGCAGAGCCGGAGCCCAGAGCGCTGGAAGCTGGAACAAGAGGCCCTTTTCTGCTCTGCACAATGCCCCATTGTGCCCTTTGCAGGGAGAGCAGCTCAGCCCAGCGAGGGGAAGCTGTGCACAAAGGCTCCTTGTGACGGCAGCCCCACCTGAGGACAGCGCAGGGCCACACCTGACACAGGGCAGTCCCTCTCGCCGTCCGTCTCCGAGCAGGCCTGGCATCCAGACAGGGCCCGCTCTGCAGGCGTAGCCCAAGGGTGTGGGGCTCCCTGTTCCCCACAGAGGAGGGGAACAGTGTAAGCTCTGCTGGCCCTTCCTAAACTGGCCCCCAGATCATGAGGAGAGGTACAGGTGGTGGGTTCTGCGGAGGGACCTGGGTGCTGGGCGCCTGCCAGGGCCAACGGCTCCTGTAATCCCCAAGGCTCCGAGCCCTCAGGCACATGCCGTGCTCCCGGAGGCTTGGCCAGCATGTGGAGGATGTTTGCGTGTTTGCACCCATGGCAACATCTTGTACAGGGTCCCATTGCACAGCTGGACTCCTAAAGGGGTTTTCATAGAAAAGAAATGGAAACTAAAAATGAATTAGACCCTAAGATGTACAGGTATGCTATGACCCCAGCAACTCAGGGAGGCTGGAGGCTGAGAGGAAGCTCTGGCCACTGCTGCTCAGCCCTGGATTTGGGGACCTGATGTCCACAGTCAGTCCCTGCCCTCACAAGGCTCACACTACAGGTGGTGAAGATATAATTAAACTAGTTACAAAGACGGATCATTTGACCATCTGAGTGACAATAATTTATATGCCAAAACACCAGGAACACTAGAGAGGCGAAAGACAAGAACACGTAAAAACAAAAACAAAAAGCCAGGACAAACATTTCCAATATACACAAAAGAACGATTTTTCATATGTAAAGAGCTCTGACGAATGAATAAGGAGAAACCTGCACTTCCACGATTTCCTTCCAAGTTCCCCACAGTTGATTCAATAACCCCTAGGTCTCCAATGCCTACTCTGGCCTCACACCCTTTCTTTCCTCTAAGGAATGCCTGTGACCTCAGCCTCTCCCAGCACCCGCTTCGGATCAGCCCCCAGAACCCCCCTCCAGTCATCAGAATGTAGAGTTGCTGGCGTCCTCCTTCAGGTTCTGTTTGGGGCAATGGGCAGTTAGCCCTTCCCTCTTGAGTCCTGAGTCCCCCTCTTCCCCCACAGCTTGAAGTCCAGTCCCAAGGGCTGGCAGGAGCTGGGCTGTGCAAAGGCGTAAGGCTGGGAGGAAGGGGAGGGTGGGTCCCCCTAGCATTCCAGGCCCAGCCCTGCCTACTCTGTCCCTTTCTGGCTGCTACGATCGCCCAGCACCCTCCGCAGATACTGGGAGTGAGTGTCAGCTGTGAGGCAGGGGCACGCTGTGGCACTACCGCCAGGGTTCCTGCAGCCCACCTTCCCCAGGACAAGAGTTGGGAGGGAAGGCGCCTGGCTGGGGGAGGGCACCTGGGCCTCTGCAACGCGGACTGACGGAAGGCACGCGTGCATGCCCCAGTGAGTTCGGGTCGGGCGACGCGCACCACCTCCCAGGTACCCGGTCCCGCACCCTACCCGCAGCAGCGCCCAGCGAGGACTGCGAGGGAGGCAGGCTCCGGGCACCAGCTCCAGCGCGTGGGCGGGGCCGGCTGGAGGGGGCGGGGCCTCCGGGAGTGTGGGTGGGGCTTTCGGCCGTGGGCAGGGCCGACCCGGGAGAGGCGGGGCCTCCGATAATGGGCGGAGCCTCCGGGAGTGCGCCCTCCCCGCACATGCGCCCTGACGGCCCAACAATGGCGGCGCCCGAGGAGTCGCTGAGGAGGCGCAAGACCGGGTACTCGCACCCGGAGCCTGAGTCGCCGCCCGTGCCGGGACGTGACCCCGCAGTCTCTCCGGCCCACCTCCACGCGGGCACCTTCTGGCTGACCCGGATCGTGCTCCTGAAGGCCCTAGCCTTCGTGTACTGTGAGTGCCGGGCGGGCCCGGGACATCCGCCGGTGTCACCTCCGCGCCCCACGACCCCCGCCCTCCCTCGAGACTCCTCCGCGCGGTCCCGCGGCCGCGGCGCCCCCACGCAGC